TATATATATATATATATATATATATATATATATATATATATATATATATATATGAGAATAAATGTGAATGTTCCTATATAGCAAAAAATGTGAATATTCCTACCACCAAAGTTTGTGTTGGAGTGGTTAACATATACTCATCCGAATCTTTAACTAAATATATCAGATTTAAGCTTTGAAATGAAACACTTTATTCCAAAGATAATCATCTCGATGAGAATCGGAATTATTAGGTCTTAGAAGAGGTAAAAATACAAAAAAAAATATGAATATTCCACTCAACGTACACTCATATAACAAATTAACATAGATCAGTTCTCAATGTTTATTAAAGTGAAAATGCATAATTACTCGACTATGGTTAGTTAATTGATATGGAAATTTGTATGTATGAAAGACACGCATCTTTTATTTACGGATTTAATGTGAACACTGAAAGCTGATAAATTCTTTACATCAACGAAATGCAACTTAACCTAAAAGTCATAATATAATGTACTTATCATGATTGATTAGATTTAGCATAAAGATGGGCTCCCTTACTTGTATAATGTATACCTAGCATAACATTTTCCCAAAAACATATCACCCTAAACACCACCACCACCACCACACTCTTTTTTTCAACCGTCCGATCACCTCCGATAAATACTAGAAGCTGATAATTCTTTACATCGTCGAGACATAATTTAACCTAAAAATAATATTTTCAAAAATGTACTTACCATGATGATTAGGTTTAGCATAGAGATGACCTCCCTTAGTTGTATACCTAGCATAACATTTTCCCAAAAACATATCACCATAAACACCACCACCACACTCTCTTTTCAACCGTCCGATCGCCTCGGATAAACAATCTTGACATTGGGCCATACTCAAATCACCCACACATTGGGCCATACCTTGAACATCCTCCGACCCGCCAACCCGATAAAGCCCATTACCGCCCATTAAACCTCCCAAAACAGCATCCCTTCGGCCCATTTCATCTAAATCAAACCCATTAGAAGGCCCACATTTCTTCATCACCACATTTTTATCCTCTAAGCCCAAAAAGGAAAAGTTATCGTACTTCACGAAACACCCTTGTAATTGTAGAACTCCGCCACATGTCTGTGGGCACAGCTCGGTGAGTTGACTCACCGAGCGTGCTAGACATGTGGCGCAATCAGGCATGGACAAATCACCTCGGCATTGATATATACCGTTGATCATGTCTTGTTGCGTGGACCCCACTATACTATACTTGTTGTAAGATGAGTAAGTTGCTGAGTTGACTAAGGAAGTGAGTAGTGAGTTGAGATTCGACCCATAAGGTGAATCGGCTGAATATTTTATTTGTGAGCAACCACCGTAAATAAAACCATCAACTGATGAATCAGAGTAAATTAGAGGAAAGAAGAAAGAAATGAAAATGTACATGAAAATGAGAAGTAAATGGAAGATTTTAGCCATTTTTCTCTCTATAGCTATGAATAGAGAGTTTGAGATATGGTTACTTCAAAGAGTATTTATGGGGGGGAAA